CATGTTTTCAGTTATTTCACCTTTTTTTGTTAAGTACATAACTCCACATGTGTTCATTCATAGTTTTGATGCCTTCAGTGAGAATCTACAATGTAAATAGTCATGAAAATAAAGAAAACGCATTGAATGAGAAGGTGTGTCCAAACTTTTGGCCTGTACTGTATATATATATATATATATGCACAGCATAAACTTTGTCTGTGTCTTCATGTGTCCTTATGTGTCAGTACACTTCCTTTAAGAATTAATATTTGAATGCCTCAAATTGGCAGTAGTTTTCCTGGACTCAAATGAGTAATACGTCAATGCGTGTCAATCAGCATAAGGATTAATATTTGAGTGCCTCAGTTGGCCAGTATTTTCCTGTCAATTAAACATGTCATTATTCTTCTTCTCTTTTTTTGTCACCAGGCAGCAACGTTGCAGTGTAACAGAAATGACCCAGTTGTCTAATGATGGGGTTGTTAAGAACAGTTATTATTTACCTAAAATTGTAATTAGTGAGAAACTCAATAAATTGGATTTGTGTTTCAGAGAGGTGCAATTTAATTTTGTATGCACAATTTATTACAATTTCAGACTGTAATTAAGGATGAAGCGATGAGCTTTTTAATAAGTCAGTTGTAATGATGAGTGCAACATGCATAGCTTTGTGATCCAAATTAAAGGGCCAACCAGTATTTAAGGGAAATGGTAATGGTTTAGGAAGTCATTTTCTACATTTCTTAAATTCAGTATAGTTCAGTATACAAGCCTGTGTTTGCAGGTCTGTCCAAGCATTTACAAAATCAAAAACATTATAATGAGAGATTGAGTTGTTGTCTAGTGTTTGTATTTGTTAGATGGCTCACCAGTTAATTATAAAGTGATAAAATGTTCAAATCTCCTGGTCTGAGTTTGAGTTTTGTTTACATTGGGTAGACGTTCATGCCTTTAATGATTCAGGGTTCACTTTCAAAGATCACATTATCTCTCAAAATGTTTGCGATGCACTATCTTTGAAACCTAATGCACACCTTCCCATCCTTAAATGAACCTTTGTCAAAGTCCAGGCTGATAGATCCTGACTGCCTTTTTAAAATAGACATAAAAATAGTTTCCTTCAATAACTGTATGAATTAGTGATATGTTGCTATGTACTGACCAAAGAGACATTGTTTTGCATTACCACTGTGAAGCAGGTCAAGACTTGTTTTCTTAGTCACATGCTACATTTTTGCAAACCTCTTTTCAGATGTACAAACGCATACATCCACACACATTTTTTTAACAGTGAAACTATGTAAATTGCTCCACCTCCAAGGGAAATTTTACCCACAGCAGCCAAGTAAGGAAAAGTTGAAAAATGGGATTTTGCCAGCAACTCGTCTTGAGTGTTGTAAGTTCTTGGAACTCAAGCAGTCCAACTAGAAAACAATCCAGACTAGTGCTTCTGCATACTTTAAACAGCATCGAGGCATTTAAGCTCCAATAGATAGGAATCTCCAAGGACTTGAAGGGGAAGTAAACACCAGTCTGTTATCACAAAGGCTTAGCTGAGGTATTTCATGTTGCCAAATGAATTCATTCATCACAGATTATGAACTAGTTTTACACAGTTATCAGTGAGTCCCAGGGCGTACGTTTTATTTCAATGCTGAGGGGAACATAGACTGTAAAAATAATGGATGTAGCTTCCGTGACGTCACCCATTGCTTTGTGGAGCCCTGTTTTGTTGAAGCTTCTAGCATTTCGGCCATCGCCATCATGGCTGTTTGGTGCTAGAAGTGACCATATCTGAGTGAAAGGGTGGAGAAGCCAAGGACACTATCAGCAAACAGTCTGTCACTCAAAGTGGCCCTGTCCTTAATTATGTGTAACTTTGAGTCTTAATGACATGTAAACAGGTGAGTTACATACAAATTCACCCCCACAGTTGTCATGAATGGGGAAATCTGTCATAGAGACCAAACTGTTTTTGTAGCAGGCTGTAAACATGTTTATTCAGCTGTAAAGTTGGGCATTTTAACATGGTGGTCAATGATTGATCAGCTTCTGGAGCAAGCCAGCCAATGGATGTTCAAAGAACTGCAGTTTTCAGCACTTCCATTTTGGCTTCATTATTCAGCCCTGGAAGCTGTCGTCTGGGGGGGTTTAGGGGTCATCCACCACTTCATTTCCTGCATTCAGGTGAATATTCCTGCACTTATGGTGAATCAGATTTATAAACCGGATTCTGATTGTCTGACCTTAGTACAGAAGGTAGTTGGCTGCATCCTTTAACGCCTTCATCCTGGTTAACACTTTGTCCAGGCTCTCCTGGCAATCAAAAAACAGTCATTGTCTAGAAACTCTTGTTTTGTATTTTTACCTGTTAATACATCAGTGTAGTTGGCTAACACCACCCACACTCATTTAGAGCTTTTTATTTCTTTTTCTCTTGTAGGATCACTGCACACACAGGACTTGATTTTGATGCCTGGTGAAGACTCGTGCACAAGTCTGATAAATCAGCAGGATGATTTATGAGCTGACAGGTGGTGACTTCACTGTAGAGAACGTCGAGCTGCACCGTCATAAATCTGCAGGACCATCACAGGCAACACTCCGCCACGTCATGTCAATGCTGCAAGTTACACTGTAGCAGGCGTTTCATCAGAAACTAGTGCTGTTTGATGTGCTGTTTGATGTTTCCTATGCATTTGTTGTAGTGACTTCTACAGCTTTCTTTAAGTATACATACTTACTCATAAATATCTCTGTTTTCTATTTTTACACTTACGGTATATCACTGTATTTTGTTGTATTATTACAAACAAAATCTCCACCCTGTTTCCATTTGTAATTTCTCATTTTACCACATTAAACAGATTCAGAAATTTGCTCTTGAAGACCTACATGAGATGAAAATATATTTTCCAGTGAATTCCTTTAGACTGTGGTCTAATTTAGAGTAACTATTTACATGGGCAGATTATGAGACAATGGGGCCCTGGGCACAGGCATGCAAGAGGCCCTTAAACATCTATCTGCTGCTTTGTGTCTCTTTGTGTCATTTTGTTAGTTTATTTGTTGAGATCCCCCATTAGTTGGACCCTAAAGCAAAGACGGTCTTTCTGAGGTCCACATTTAGAAACACACTTTTAATCTTACCACATTTGAAACCATGCATTAAACATTACAGTCAACAAAAATGGCAAACAAAAGACATTAATTATGAATTATGAACATAAATTATGTTTCTTTGTGGTCATTTTGTTTCTGGCTGTAGTTGCTTTGTGTCTTTTCTGCAGCATCTACTGTAGTTGTGTAGCTTAGTGTTTCTTTGCTGTCATTTTGAGTTTCCTCCTGGTTAGTACCAATGGTGGATTAAGTACCTGAAAGCCAAAATTCTCACCAGAAAATTACTTTGGTAGGAGATAAAGTCACCTGTTAGAAAATATTAATTGAGGACACGTCTTAAAATATCTGATATTTTCTGTACTTAAACATCAAAAGTAATTTTATGATATTAAATTTAATATTAATTAATTTAATATTAATTTTAAGTATTGAAAGTAAAATATACAAGTTAATGCTTTTAATAAAAAAGCAAGCAGTCTGAGTTTTAAAAAAATTACAATGTTTATTTCTTCTTAACATGTACACCACCTTAAAAAGTGAGCCTGCTTTACACTAGGGAAATAATGAGGTTGTCCTCACAACTTGAATGATGTAAAGAATAAAATCCAGTTTTTCATTCCCTCCCATTCCTTCATTTATTCATCCGTCCCTTCCTCTCTCCATTCCTACCCTATTTTGTAGTAAGCAACAAAGATGCTAAAAGGAAATGTAGTGGGGTAAAAGTGAAAGTTGACAGAAATATAAAAACTTAAGTAACGTTAAGTTAAGCCCAAGTATCATTACTTTTGAGTAATCCATCCATTTTTATTTTCCATGTTTTAATGCAGTTGTTTTGGCTCTTCTCTGAAACTTACTGCCACCATGCTCCACATTTTTTATTCCAGCACGACACAAAACCATCAAAGATAAGCAAAGTGGAAAAGATATATACTGCAACAGACACAGAGACAGAAGCATACCGCCAACCCCCATTTTTAAAACAGAGGAAGGAAGGAAGAGGCTGGCAAAGTGTATAAAGAAAGACTGTGTTGTGTGTCTTTCTTTTTCACCAACCAGTTCACACTGAACACAGTCAATTAACAGTCTCCTTGAAATCGGTGAAGCGTCTGTGTGCTGTCTGAGCCAGGTGATACCTGACAAATAAATAAGTAAATGCACACACACGGATAAAGAGGCCACCCATGCTACTGACTCATGCAGAACTGTTTGACAGACAGTAGAGGCAGCCTCCGCAAAAGCAAAGCAGTGAAAAAAAAAATCTGCCTCCAGGCAAGAAAGACGTGTAAAAATTACTACACTCCCTGTGTATTAGTCTTTCCCAACAGCTGATGCTGCATTCACTTTTTATGAGGAAGTGCAATGTTAAGATTCAATGTCTCATGGATGTCTTCTTTTAAATCTGGTAGTGTTGCTGATACATTCAAGGGCAACTAACAACAACACTAACATAGCTTGACATAATCTGGGAGCCAGTGAGTAAAATAGGTGGATTATGTTTGTTTGTTTTTTTTTAAAAAAAAAAGTCCTATTATTTTTTTTTAATTTTTATTCTATTTACTCTTTTATAAATGTGCCTTAGACGTGCCTTACACACAGTATGTTTATAGTATCTAGCCTGTGGGAGTGAAACAAAGTGGGGGTGGGAACACAGGGATATATGTAGGTGCTGGGAAACTGTTGTGTGAATTTGCAATATTTATTTATCTTTATTTCTTTCCTCTTTTGTTTTTTAATAATTTCTTCTTTAACATACTTTTACTATCTGTTATTATATGTACGTATTACTCTAGTTGTCATGGTTTAGGTTTCTGTAGACATTTTTTCCTCAAGAAAACAATAAAATTCAACATCTTAGGTTGCAGTCAGAAACATGTGGAAAGAAAACCCAGACACAAATATACAAATTCTATGTTTTATTTCTACCTTGTAACAGAGACAATTTGTGATTAATTCGAAAACAAACAAAATAAAAAATACTGTTAATTTCTGTCGTTTCTTTTCATTTGAATTGTAACAATCTAATCATTTCATATCTACCCAGCGACAGTGCATGGTGCAAAACATCCCTGATTGATTAAAAAACCTACACTAATAAGCTTGCAGTATCTAGCGTTAAATTTGTCAGTAAAAACAATATTAAACAAAAAAGACCAGATTCTTAGAGGTAAAAACAACAGTAAATATAGAGTAACAAAACATGTCGTAAGCAGAGGTTTGTACAGCTATGGAGATGGAAATTAAAGTGGCCTTTATTGGACCATTTATTCAGAAGACAGAGATCTACAAGTTCCATAATGTTTATGTTATCTCTTACAGGAGCCACTTCATTGTTTTGCATTGTTGAGGACACGATATACCCTTTGGACACAGTCTCCACAACATCATAGCGCTCAAGCTTTAACTTTTTTCTATTATCCTAAAAGACTGAAATACATTGCTGTACATTTTCAGATCTCTTTCTACATCATATCAACCAAAAGAAAATGACAGATCACTATAACACTGTTCCCCACCAGCATGTTGGGCTCAGCTCATTTCAGTTTGGCCACCTTAAAATGTGAGCAAAGACTGCAAGTTATACGACGTGTGAATATCCTGTAATAATGATTATTGATGTATTTTTCTTAGTAAATGAATATAAATGATTTCCTCATATATTCCCATTTATTTAAATTTATATTTCACTTCCTGAGTTGATCTTACTGGATGTGAATTGATCATGAGCACACAATGAGGTCCAATGATTTTTTTTTTCTTTTTTTCCGCCTGCCCTCTCCTACACAGTATCTGATGCAGTTAGTTGCACTGTATGTAATTTATTAGAAAGCAGGCAGGATTTTGGATAAAGCTTACTTACACTGATTTGATTAAAAAAAGAAAAAAAACATTTATTTTCTGAGGTACTGAGTTGAAAACCTCTTGCTGAGATAATGGAGGGAGGACGGTGGTGCAGGGTGACAGCTGAATTCCAGCCTCCCCACCCTCTGCTTAAGTATGTGCTGATGCACTGCACTTAACTCGACCAATATTTACTGCCTTAGCAATGTGAAGAGCTGCATGTGTTCATACTTGGACAGAGGGCTGAAGAATGAGGACAGGCAGCAGACAAATCAAGCCAGACACACTGATTATGTAATTGGGGGAAAGCGTGTTTGGGGTTATTAGAAATGGGCAGTGAGAAAACCTGAAACACTGTGGAAAGAAATATTTTTTCACCAGTTGCAACAGCCTGTGGACTGCGTTCACTGGGGACACCCTGTTTGCCAACATAATGCACGGTAGAGGAAATGCAAAATGGCCCATAGGTGACATTACTGTATGTGTTTTGTGGAGATTGGTCTTTTAAAAAAAAATAAAAAAAATTAAAAAAAAGGGCCCATATAAAAGAGCAATGGTCTTTTTGGATGTGAATCCAGTCAGGGTGACTGTGTTCTTTGAGGGTTCACAGTTGTCACAGGATCTACTTTAATAGTCTTTTAAAAGTGATTTATTTCACTCTATGGCTCTTTATGCTTATTTCAACAGCAGGCTGCCAAAACAAAGCAACTCAGAAAGATGACTGCCGTCACAAGCGATGCAAGCGCTTCTAAATTCTTGCTGATATATTTTACATAGCACAATCTAAGAAGCATACAAAAATTATTGACTAATTGCTGTACAGTGGTAGCTGTTCACCTAGTAATTACCTGAACGTTAAGGTAGATTCACTGGGACTTTGCTATACATGATTACCTTGAGTGTATTATCTGTTTGTCTCACAGTAAAACAATGAGTTTGTGCTCAGATTCTCCATCAAGGACAGCTGTCAAACATGTGGTCTATTACTCATTTCCACCCAAACACAGCTGTCTTTAGTGCTCGTGTTCCTCGTTGTAGCCTGCATGCAACCCTCAGTCAGTGTGGGTTTAGATTTAAAGAAGCCCACTCTTTGTTTCATGACGGGCTCAAGTGATCTTGACTAGAGCACTTGGAACCAGGAAGTTCAGAGCAATGATTGACCGTGCATCTCCCTTTAAGAGTATTCACCTTTGATCACAGAAGAACGTGGAAAACCTTCAAACCACTTTCTCTATCGAGTATGCAGTGTTAAAGTTCAATACAGATTAAATGCCAGCTAAATAGTGGTATCTACTTGTGCAACATATCGACGGCACATGGTGATACAGTATTATGTGTGAGGATTATTGAGCAACACAAGCTCAGTGACAGAGCCATTCACTTCCTGTTCCTGCAAGTATCCCTGCTAAGCTTCGTTAACGTGTACTTCATAATCATCCAACTTCATTATAAAAAATAGACATTTTGCATTGAAGAGATTCCTAATCAAATATCTATTTTTTGTGATACAAACAGGTAACCTCTGGTTCTGAGAGCAGCTTTTGGCTGTCCTCGCTTACAGTCACCTAACATCTTCTTTGGCTAAATCACACTGAAGCAACACATGAGATGCCCCTTTCTAAGTATAAACTGGGCCACAATGACACTTTCCAGCTTTTACATTTTAGTGAGTCCCTCTCATAAGACATCTCTTTGCGCTGCTATATTGCCAATTCAAGCTTTCACACTTAAAAGAAAAAGCGCAGCCACGGTGCACGGCAAAGGTCGCTGACAAACATGACAAAGCAATGGCAAACACAAAGTGATGATGGCATGATTCAAATAAATGGTTATTTTTATTCATCTTCAGCTTTCAGTGAACTAAAAACAAAAACAAGAAAAGGAAAAGAAATCAAACCATGTTGATTTCATGTATCTACAAAAAAACCCTTCACATCCATGACTGTTCTTAAATCATTGGTTTTCAAAAAGGAAGAGAGAAAAAAATATTTTATTGTGAATCCATTTGATTCAAGGATTCACCTGCACATACTGTATATCCGTCTGTGTGCCCAGTGTGTGTGTGTGTGTGTGCGTGTGTGTGTACGCGTGTGGTATGTGCCGTTACCGTTTGACCGTGCAACTTGATCCCACCCCCCCATCCGTCCGCCCGCCCCCTCCCCACCCATCACACAGACATACACACAGACCTCCGAAACAGGATGTACAAAAGCTTGTGTTTAGCATTAAACAGTGCAGGGCCTTAACATAAACAGCGAAGGCTCCTCTTTCTCTCTGCCCCTTCCCCTCCTCCCCTGCACCCAAGTTGGAAATTACATCACAGATAGGCACAAAGCCATCTCTATAAAATGACAGGAGAACAGAACAGAGGGTACAGGAGGAAGAAAATAAAAACATACATACAGAATACAGCAATTCCCTCTGTATCATTCTCACTTTTTTTTTCTTTTTACACACTCTCAAAAGTGCACGCAAACAGCCAAACAGTTAAAAAATAGTTTTCGAGCGAGAAGAAACATGATTGAACCCTGGACACTTGTCTGCTTTGTTGCCGTTTGGTGACGAGGGAGAAACAAGTTTGGGAGGTAGAGGAAAAAAAGAGCGTTGGGCGGACGGGGAGGGGGGGGGGGGGGGGGGGGGGGGGGGGGGGGGGGNAGGGGGGGGGGGGTGGCAGGTTGTGGGAGGGGGGTCCAGCGGCTGTTATTTCTTGGCCTTGGCGGCCTTGGCTGAATTTCGTGGGGGGGTGACTGGCCTCCCAGATCCCATTCCTGCCCCTCCGCCATAAGGATACAATTTCTTGTCTGCTGGCTTCAGAATCTGTGGGAAATAAAAAGAAATTCTTATTTAGTTTGGTCGACACAACCTCGGTAATGAGTGACAATAAAAACCCATCTGACTTTTTTCTAATCATGGTCATTCTAATTCTAACTTTGGTCGTACGTGTGTATGTTTTGGAGTCAAAATGCTATTTCCCCAAACCCCTCTAAAACCTTTTTCAGAACCCCCCTGAAACATGATCTGAAATAGATTACTGCATGCACAGTGTTGCTGCTACATATAAACCTGTGTACTTGGTTCTGAAAGTCACACAATAATGCAAACAGATTATTGAGTTGGTGGTTGTCCAGCAACTCGGCAAAGTTCCTGTTTCTGAGTGTGGTGGTTTTGAAGAGGGTGATTTAACAGCTTCAGTTTCGGATCATTAAGGGCTGTCTTTTTTAACAGAAACCGCAATTTTTACATCACAGAAAAAAGGAGTCTCTGCTCTTTGTTTTGTGAGTTAGTTTGTGCTATAGTGTGACTTTCAGAACCGAACTATAGAGGCGTCCACAGCAGTTCACTGCTTACGTTCTGTGCCCTGGTACTCATGTCTGCTTCTCCAAACTTGAGGTGTGCTAACCACATCTACTGTGGGTAATACACTGACTATGGATCTACAAATGTGTTTATACAGTACAAATGTATTATAATGAATCTCAGTGTGTCTTCCCCTGTTAAAATAAAGGTTTAATAATAATAATAATAATAATAATAATAATAATAATAATAAATTAGCACCATCTTCCACCTTGCACTGTCAGCGAAGGGCAATGTGGGAGAAGTGCATCTGCGATGTAACCTACGTCACTGCTTTTTGTTAATAGCTGTGTGGGAGTTTCCATTTCAAAGAACACAGATGGACCCACCCTTTAATGCTCCGTAATGTATACGTTTTGTTTGACACTGGTCACAACAAAACTCATGTAGCAAAAACATACAGCAGATACAAATCTGTTTCATCACAAAATAAAAAGTACAAACGCAGGCTCTGTTTTACACACCTGGAAGGAGCACATGAGTGTCTCATCCACACTCATCATGGCACCGGCATTGTCAAACTCTCCACAGTAGTTGGGAGCAGAGAATAAGGTGACGAGTTGCCTCTTTGCAAAAAACTCATAACCGTCTTCTACCACCTGAGGAAAAAAAATACCACAGTCAATACCACAGACAATAAAACAGAAGCAAGAAAATGAACAAGTCAGTCAATGACTTGCTTGTTGGTATAAGTCCAAGCAACACAGATTCAGATTTCCCACTAATGTTTTTATCTTGAAATGAATCTTTGATGTTGTTTAGCTTAAATCTAAAGAACTGAAATTAATACTGGTACACTACTATTTCTGTCATAAGCAATGAAAGAGGACAAATGCACGTCCCACAGCCTCAGCTGGCAGGGGCACAAGGCCTCTTGGCTAAACATTACCTGATGCGCCCTGCATATTAGGTCCATGTCGTGTTTGTGCAAAAATTTGGCCACCACATCTGCCCCGAATGTGAAGGAGACACCGCGGTCGTTTTCACCCCAGCCCAGCACATCTTTGTCTGGGTCTGCCCACAGTAGGTCGCACAACAAACCCTGATCAGGCACGTCTGTGGGTCGCATTACTCTGCGGATCTGCTCCATAGACTGAAGATCAGGAGAGAGGCCTGGGAAGAAACCATGCACCCAGCTTAATCTGGTTCTTATTATCTAATATGCATCACTTCATGTTCATAACACCTTATATTAACAACGCCTACCTCCATGACAGCAGAAGATTTTTTCATCTACGATGGCAGCCACAGGTAAACAGTTAAAGCAGTCTGTGAAGGTCTTCCACAGTTTAATGTTATACCGTCGCTTACCTGCCAACAACACAGGAGACATGAGAATTTAGTGCAACAGCTAAGAGAAAAGATTTAGCATTTTTCCGATGTACAAAAGCACTCTGCACTTACACTCATCATAAAAACCGTAGATTCGATTAATAGAAGCGCATTCGTGGTTTCCACGCAGCAAGAAAAAATTCTCTGGATATTTGATCTTGTAGGCTAGAAGCAGGCAGATGGTCTCCAGTGACTGCTTCCCTCTGTCTACATAGTCACCCAGGAACAGGTAGTTGCTTTCTGGGGGAAAGCCTCCATATTCAAACAGCCGGAGCAGATCATAGTACTGGCCATGGACATCACCTGCAGAGGGCAGCAGAGGAGTGCAATCAAAACACCACAGTTATGCTGATACTGGGTGCTTATCAACTGATACAATCGGCAATTACAGATGAGCAAACTGTCTAGCAAATCATGAGCAAAACCTGATCATCTTCTCTTGCATCAGTCAGTCTGAGGTGTAACATCTTAGACTTTATGGTATTTTAAACTTGGTCGTGATGCATTATTGACACTCATTAAAACTCACCACAGATTTTGAGGGGTGCCTCTAGTTCAAGCAGGATTGGCTGGCTCAGAAAGATTTCACGGGACTTCAGGCAAAGGCCACGGATTTCACTCTCTGTCAGCTGGACATTCTTCCCTGGTCGAGAGCCCTTGACTGAAAAAAAGGGAGAAAAAGGGGACAGATCTTTATGAAGGATGAAGTAACACCACAAAGACACACCTGTGCTCGGGCCTGTAAGAAAGTCTGAATGAAGAAGGGCATAAGGCACAGCAATAAGACGTGATCCTCAGATTTTAAGCCAGACCATCAGACTGGGAAGTAAACACCTCCCACCAGCCACAAGCTGGCAAATTCTGTTAGCAGACTGGTCTTACAGCCACTTCAGCAGGTAACCACGTTATTAAGAGGTCATATTATACATTGCACACCAAGTTTTGGAGAACATAAGTTACTAATACTAGATACATTTTTAACAACCCACAAAACAAGATGAGTCTGTGCAGCATGCAGCATCTGAGAAAACCTGATCAGTGGAAACTAGCCTGACGCTGTCAGCCTCAAAGGCCTGTCTTTCTGTTTAGGTGGCAGTTAAGACCTGAGCTAGGAGAAAGCATGAAACCCACATCCCCCTTCTAGCCGATATAGCTGCTGCAAAGACATTGTAAACACGTAATTAGGACTCACTTAATATGCACTGTTAGGAAACAAAGAATGACACACTATGGGCTATAATAACACTGTTCCACATATAAAATAAAGGACAAGAAACAGGTTGTAATATATAATTAAATCAAGTATAAACTGTACTTATCATGTAATAATGAAGATAACATTCTGTTTCTGGCATCCGGCTACTTTCACGGATGCAATCTGAAGAATTTAGCAGGTTTGTCAAGTCTCTCCTTGTCATGCTTTTTCACACTTACCACACACTCTGAACGGAGCCAAACACAAATCATGATAAAGCCTTGAACAAGAACCCTGCTTATTTTCCTGACAAATTATGCCTTACATTCACACATGTTGTCATGGCTCTAATGCTAGAAAAGGTAGGAGTGAGATGTGAATGACAGCAAGAGAGAAATATCTCTTGGAGAAAGGAGCTGGTAGTCTCGCAGACATTCTCAAATTTTAATTACACTGAAGAACTACTTAGTTTGGCAGAAGACTGAGGATTTGTTATCAATAAAATATTGCATTTTTTGTTGCTGTGTTTGCCAGGTATATGTAGTAACCATCTTATAAATAAATATCGCTTAAATATCAAAGTATCACTACTGCTCAGTGGTGTGGTGGAGGGTATACACAGGTATACGGGGGTATACCCACCTCATTTTCTCTGTGTTTATTTTATTACACACTGCCAGGTAAACGTTGTGAATGTGTTTACATAAATAAATATTGTTTGAATATTTAATAGTAAGTATCATGTTCAGTATTTAGATAAAATATTTGCACCGACAGGCCAGCTGTAGGCTGTGTACATGATGCCATGTGACTACATCTCAGGGACTGTGTCTGCTGCGGCCTTATGCAAGACTGCCCCTGATGGAGTTTGGAATTTGGTTTGTTTGTATCACTGACAGAATCAATCAGACCCCCATTCCTACATGTGCTGCTGCTTGATGCCAAAGCAGATCCCAACACAAACTGTACAATCCTACTAATGAGGAGTCTCATTTCCAACCAACGGACTGTATCACAGCCAACAGAACAGGTAACGTACATGTGGTGGAGAGACAGACCTGCCAGACAACTGTCTCAGTGACAATTTTTTTCAGGCTGGGGTGTGAACAGAGCACTCTCTTATATATATGTTTATGGGACTGACTTGACAGTTGTTAAGTGTTCACCAGTTAACACACCAATAAACGGACAACTGCTTCCACCTACAAATGACAATCAAAGTGACGCAGATCAAGGGTGAATAATGACGGCAGAATTCCAGTTCTATTCAATCTAGATTTGTTTCGCAACATTAGGTCTTGTAATTGTCCTTCCTTCTTCCTGCAAGATTCAGAAGCACAGGCAAAAATTAAGATACCAGTTACTCATGGTAGTTGTCCAACCCATAAACAAGATGTTCCAGTTCAACACTGACAAAAAACAACCCGCACTTTCACACTGTAACTATGTAACACTAACCTAAAACATATTTCAAATGTACCCTACTTCCTTCATTGGAAATCTGTTTAACCTCATCACAAGGTGGCTACACACTTTTATAAAATCAAATGAAGACTTTTTAAGACCTAAACAAAGAAAAAAATGAATGCCATTTCCACTGCACAACAAACATTGACAGAGGTGTGGCATATGTAGCCATCCATCCAATAAAAAGAATAAATGCAGATAAGACACCTCAGTACAGAGGATGAGAGCCAAAAGTTACTAAGTTATTAAAATGTTAGAAAATGAAAGTTAATCAATAAAATAAATTCCCAAAAGGTGTCTGGAACCCAAAGTTATGTCTTCAAACTACTCTGACCAACAATTAAAAAAGAAGTCAATATAATTTACAGCAACATGTGTGCAACAGGTAAAAATATCAAATACACGTACTGGAGGAACTGCAAGTTAACAATTTTGTTTTGATCGCAATGTTCAGTTTTTATTGAACTTTTAGAGAGAGGTGTTAGATTTTATGATAACTTTCGATGCTGTAGTTTGGGGCAGACAAAATTATAAAAACACCCTTAAGTGCAACGCCGCACAATTCCTCACCAGTGTAAACCACGACCTCCACCTCTCTAAAACAGCTGCAACAAAAACTGAACATCATTTCATGACAGTGGCATTTATTGCAGGACTTATAAACTTGCAACTGAGTGTAGACCTACCACACCATTTTAATGGCATGTTACATGGTGAGCTGGGTTCCAGCCTGGCATTTTAGCAGTGAAGTTACACAATAAAATAGGCCACACTTACTGTTTACTATTAAACAAAACACACTTTTAAACAAAATTTAGTTTTAACTCATCGTTTCATGTGTAAATCAGTAAATCACTATTAAGTAAATTAAAAGTAGTAGTAACGTTCTGATCTGATAACAGGCTTTCTTTGCTTGACATAACCTTAAATCTATCTAAGAAATCCTCAGCTGGGGAGTGGTGAATAGTGAAGGGAGTAAGAAAATGTTCCCGTCTCATCGGTGGTCAAGAAACACTTGGTCTGGCTCTACCAGTCTGTGATCCGACAAGAGCTGACGATGTAGTGGTGCTGAATCTTTTCCAGAGGTGTCAGTGCTTATCTGTTTTTAATGGAACTGCTTTAACTCCCATTGTCCCAAGTTTAAAAGCTTTGCAGCACATCTTGCAAGTCGCCTCCAAATCGCAACCTCCTACAGCTGACCATTCCTGGTACTTTTCATCTAAGAGCCAAATTTCCTCAAACTTTCCCCAACTGTGACAAGCAAATCCACAAAAATAATAGTAATAAAATAAATAAACAGTAATAAAACATATACTGCCTAGTAGATGCAGTAATACAGGGTGGTTTGATGTGGTATTCTTACATGTCTCAGATAGTGAGTGTCATCTCAAAATCCAAGACCTCTTACAAGTAAAAATAAGACTTTAAAAAATTTTATGACCCTAAATTTCTAGAATCAAATGTAATACTTTAAGGACTTTTAAGAAGGACCTGCGGCCACCCTGCATGAAGCAAAGTTTGACTAAAATGATTACACTACCAGAGCCAGTCACCAGAGCAGCATTCACACAAACAAGGATTCAATCTCTATGTACAACATGCTGCTTCATTACACTTGCAGGTTTCCTTTGTGGTGAAAATGCTTTTGTCTCCAGGACAACTGTGAAGCAGGGAGCCGTCAATAACAGCGTGCACGAAAGAAACACTTGCGACTGATCAGACAGTTTCCGGTGATTGGTCAAGCAGTTTCCATGTGAATACAGAGCCCTTGATTTCATGTACCAGAGAGAGTACTTCCAACACAAAACACCAGTTTTGTAAGTGATCAGATTTTGTGGAATACAAAGTCCTGATTTAATTTATTACAGTTATTATACAATTAATGACACTAAATTATTGAGACGGAGGATGATTTAATGACATGTAAACAGTTTGGGAATCGACATCTCACGACTTGCTGCAGGTTAACTAGATAAACTTTGATTGTCTGTATCACGGTGTCACTGAAAAATAATTGTCAAACTAACATTTGCTTGTATTTATACGAAAGAGGTGAAGTGATCAAGTGTGTGTCCGAGCAACAAATCATAATTTGGGCAAATAACAAATGCCCTTCACTCCTTGTGAAATGTGATGACAAGCAGAGAACTTGGCACTTAATTACAGACCATCTCTCAGGAAAACAGATCCAGTTTTAGTAGTGCTTGCAAGGCACTTGGAGAGGGTGGGGGAGAGTCGAAATCAACAAATGGATGCACTATACTAAAGCAGAAACTAAAAGCAAGTGAAAAGTAGGTTTAAATAAATACTGCAGTGCTGCTTGTCACTTTAAACCTGGATTACAGAAGGCTAAGCCCTGACAGAGCTTACTCCAAAGTTAGCCATATAGCCAGTGGGCAACAGCAAGTTTAAAAAGGGATACAGACAAAAGGCTTTCCACTAGACTGATCAGGGGGCAGAAAACAAAGAGCTGGACCAGCACAACAGTAAAGCCATTGGGTTGCCGGGAGTGCTGGAATCAACAGTTGGTTTGGTCCTGCACTCCTGACTCAGTGCTGGGTGTTCTGACTGAGCTTATGTGATGTCACGCTCTTCAGACATGCTATTAGCAACACACACTCCCAGGGTTCACGTAGCTCTAGCTCTACACAAGTAATCCAATTGAAACTGCTCATTATCCAAACACATTTAATTGGCTTGGTCTCGAAACACAGTCAGCAAGCACGAGGGTTACCTTGTTGTCCCCAAAGGAGACTGAGCTGGTGTTGGATATACAGTAATTTATCAATCTTATGATGCAGCACCTATAAGGAGGCAAGTGTTCTTCACAAGTGTTGAACAGTGTAGACGAATACAATAGTAATGTTAACCGGCGAGTGGTTATTCTCAGCAATAAAACCACAAATGCAGGCAAAAAAAAGGTCAAGTGAGTTACATAAGAGGATATAAATACTGCCACTATCAGGCTTGTTTGTCTTCCCCTGCATTTGGCAGACAACCTTATCACGGCCCAAGTATAACAATCCATGTCCAAAACACAGCACAGCAGGCTGGGTCCACAGTCAAAGTCAAACTCCCAAGAGGCACATGCATATTTGCAAATAATCCCAATCATCTCCACCAGCTCAGCTTAGGCCGATCGTGAAGGTCCTATATTTGCGAATGTACATAAACAGAAGGCTTACATCAAATTTGTGTTAGGCCCAAGAACATTTTCTGTACCCAACTTTCACACCCAAAATATTTTCTGATACTGTGACTTAAGGCACAATTTTTATGAATCACATTTTGTTAAGGTCACAAGTCCCCCACCCAACATGCATGATGCTGCTCCTGGGAAACATGCACACAAATAAGTATGTACACCAACTGTTCCATAGGGGAAAAACACATCAGTGTGCATGTGAAGCAGGCATAATTTCCACACCCCACACCCTGTGTACTTGCTTCACAAGGGCAACTACAGAGGTCACAACCTTATTTCTTGTGCTCTTTAGATGAACTGTACAGTTGGTTCTGAAGAGATTTATGCTTCTGTTTGATGTCCACAGGGCTCCTGTTACACAATCATCATGTGGATATGAAGATAAAACAGCCTTGTTTTCCGTCAGACACACACACACACACACACACACACACACACACTTCCAACCATAACAACTCTGTCTCCACACATTGGGCATAGGAGCAATAGTTCGTGTCAGATTTGTACAGCCAGTACAGATTACCAATCACTCCGAATCTGCCTACATAATGTTAAATGTTTCTTTTTTACAAAATCATACTGTTGCATTTTTTAAAAACGTCAATCATTTAGGCACAAGATGTTTTACGGTTACAACATAAAAATTAATTTTAGTGTCCTAATATAGGCTAGGTACTTACGTAAATGTTATTTTTCACCGGGAGCACACAAAATGAAAAAGAATGATGTAAGCAGTCTATATATTGCTTAAAATAAACACTGGTGGAGGAGCCTAGAGGGCCAAACAGCAGTTTCACACAGTATTACAGTGAGCTATGCCAATCAAAGCATCTTTGTTTGTACACCTCATTAACAAGTCACTCTGGGGAAGGTTGTGGCTGCAAATTGTAATCAGATCCTCGGCTGCAAAACAGAGCACAACAACAATCCACCCATGCAACTGACAAGCTCTGGTGGGAAAAGGGGGCTACAAATGGGGTTGAGAAAACTGTGTTTACAAGACTGTTCTTACAGTAAGCCAGTGTCAAAGAATGCAAACAGCAACAAGTCAAAGCAATCCCTTACTGCCATACTGCAAATAGCCACTTTCAAATCCCCCAACTAATAACAGTGATTACTCAAAAAGGCCATTTCTCTTATTCTGAACTGAAAAACACGTAAGAAATCATTATCGCTTTTATGAAAAAGCTAATGCATCAAATATAATACACTCTAAGCCAATAACGGATGGTGTAAGGTGTCATTTGCGTAAAATATATGTGTGATGTGCCTTCTTTTTTGGTGGTACTTCACTCTCTCACGTCACCGATTTCCCTTTGATTTGCAGACAACACGGTAACAGTGTATTCTAATGAAAACAGAAATAGGTGGCTATAATAAAAATGCAATATGCACATATAACGTTGGCTAAACAATGTGTGAAGAGCAGGTTTGATTTGGCTAAGATTTTTCATCCATATCCAACCATCGGGCTGGAGAGCACAGGAACCTTAAGTAGGCTAACGCTTCTTCAGCATACCTTTAACTTTAGCCGATTTACCTGCTATATATTACCCATCCCACTACAAAGAAAATATACAATAGTGTAAATGAAGTACATTGCTACACAGTGGGTTTGATGCTCCTCACCTTCCAAGAGACGCTGAATTATAGAGTCGATGTTTAATTTGTCTGGCTCCGCCATTTTCTTTATTTTCTGACGTTCTCGGGCAGTCAAGACCTTGGTTTTCGTGTAGCACCTTAGGTTTAAAAAACAGAGAGCAAAAGAGACGGACACTGGTAATTAGTCATGGTGTACGTTTTAATTCACATGGGTTAGCTAGCGAGCGCCTCGCAATAGCTAATCGAGCAATGTTAGCAGAATCTAACAATGAATGAGCTTCTGCGAGCTTGAGCTAACCAAGCTAACTAGGTAGCTACTAGCCAAGTAACGTCAGCGCCCCATATAAACTAGCAGGAGCATGACTGAACGGCTAGTTAGCTAACGTTAGCTACGTAATATAACTTGTAATCAAACATAATGTCCCCGAACCTTGTCTTCGGTTTAACGGCAGTCCTCCAGGGGTAAATAATGTATGAATAATTATCCTTTGAGCTCAATCTTGGCCCCTTTCCTCCGGTTTGTCCGGTTCCCTTCACTCTTCCCCCAGGAACTTTAAAAGAGGGCCGTGTCTACCGAAGAGGCTACGGTAACGTAAGAGGCTGAATCAAACGGAGCTCACACGTTTCTCAGAAGATGATTGGTCCATCCTGGGGGGAATCTCACATTTGATTGGACGCGTGTTGGGTCCGTCTTTTAAGCACCTCCCCCAGCCGTTTACAACAGTATCAATGGAGACTGAAGTGAGAGCTCAAAGTGCGCCGCCAAGTGTTTAGAAATGGAACTGCAGCGTACACCTACACAAGCTAATACGTCTGACGTTTTTTTTTTAAAATGGGCTTTATTTAGGCTACTTTTTTCATTTTCATATATATATATGTAATTTTAATTAGACTAAATAATGCTGATTCAGTATACAGGAAACAGTATACAAATAGAACAACAACAAAAGAGCCAGGGGTATATCACACTAGACAAAAATATTATAAATCATAATTAGAATCACTTTTGTTGGATGCCTATGTGTTGGTATACATACAGGGGCGTAGCACCAAAGTCTGGTCCCTATGCCTAAGCAGTCTCTGTGGGCCCCCTACCCTTCCTCTCTGGGTCTATGTCTCTCTTACCTTTTGAAATTTTATTTTTACAGTCACTTTGCATCCAGTCTTCTTCATTTCCTTTTTTTCTGTTTTGAAAGTTACCACAGTGTACATTAGTGCTCACGATTCCTAGTGCAGGGGCAGACTAAACCATTTTGATCCTTTAAAGGGTGAGAGGGGCCTCAGAGAGCTTTCACTATTTTTTTAAATACAAAGTTTAATCCTTCGACCAAGTTACTCAGCCACATGTTGTTAAGTAATGGCACTAATTACTTAGAAAGTTTAAAAAAAAAAAAAAAAACTGCAAACAAAAACATCATTTTCATTCCAGGCTTTTCAGGGCCCCCCTCCCAATAACTCCAGTTTCTCCCCACTACGATTCCCCTGGGTACAGTGCAAGGAATTTGATTTGGTTTTTGGCATTGTACTTACACATAAACAGACATAACAGGAGGACAAATAAAGGTAAGATACAGACAGGACTATTATGTTCTCTTGCAGGCTATGTGAAAGAATAGCTGTTTATATAAGTATTATATAAATATATATAAAAAGCACCAATGGCCAACAATAGAAATACAATAAAAAAAATGAAATGTCTGTATGTTCTGTAGGTTTTAAACCATACAGTTGGTGTAAAGAAATAAGTACTAAATGAATATACATAGGCTGGATGATTATGTACAACATGTGCATGTACAGTATGCATGTTTATTTACTGTACAGCATGCTGGATTTACATTGACATTGACAGATGATGTAAAGTAAACATATGATCTATAATATCGGGGCAGTGGATGTTTGGTGTTACAGGGTTATTGACAGTGTATGACTGATTTAATTGCTCATCAGAGTGATGGCCTTGAGAGAAACACAGACATTAAGTGTCTTGACGGCCTTTTTGTTAGCCGAGATATTAACCTGCCCACTTGAAGCTGAACACAGAGCAGCACCTGTACAGCCAAAGGAAATCTAACTTAAAAGCTCTGTAGTTAACACATTTGGCAGGTTCATAGTTTTCAGTTTCAATGAAACTCAAAATAAACTTCAAATCTGTAATTATTTTTGATTATTTTGGTCATAGTTGCTGATAGAACAAATGAATAATGTGCATAATTTCAGACACATTTCCCTGTACTTTGCTGGAATCAACAGAAACTTTAGTTCTGTGGGTTTGAACAAGGAGATTGTGTTGATAGACAATGTTAAATTTCAACACTAACATCTGGATTAAATTTGTTCAAGTAATCACAATCAGCTTTACTGGACAAGTATGTGAACACACACAGGGAATATGACTCTGTGTTTTTTGTTGCTCTCAGTATAGACATACAGCTAAAACCCAAGACAACAAAGCTGGACAAAATGAAACATATTAACAGATAAAAATATATGTGAAAACAACAGTAAATGTTGCACCATATCTGCTAATTAAACAAATATGACAAGAAACTAGAAACTAATGAGGCCAACTAATCTTCCGTTTGTTTTAATGGCATGAAAGGTTCTTGACTGTCCAGTTTATTTGACATATAAATATGGATCATCAGCAGGTAGCAGTCACCTTAAGTACAAATTTGAGGTGCTTGTTATTTCATTCAGTATTTCCATTTCATGCTGCTTTATAGTAGAGTAAAGTATCACATTTTCTATTACGCTTCGTTTATCTGAAAGCTTTTATTACAGTTATGGATACTTTTACAGATCAAGATTTTACATACACAGCACATAAAGAGCTAAAAATAAGCTTTCTTTAGATTAATATGCCCAACAGTATCTCCACCTCTGCCAACTAACTAACAATAGTTATGATCCAATACTGTAATGTAGTATTATTTCTAAATTATAAGAACTTTTAGTTTTAAAATTCTAATTTCATTTTGATACTGCATCTGTACTGTTACTTACGCAACAATTACAATGCAGGACCTTTACTTGTGACCTAATGGAGTTTATTAAGTGTGCTGTTACTTTCACTTAAGTAGCCTAAGTAAAGGGAAAAAAGAGTGTTAAAAGAAGTCAACAACTGGTCATTAAACAAATTTAAAACACTCCATGTATTTTGTGGAGAGAACTATGAAATAGTAGCAGAAATAACTCCTAATTGTTGTTGAGAATATGGGATTATTCTTATTATCTGTTAAAATACTGTTCATATCCATGTACAATTTCAACAATATGTGTGAGTTTGTGTTGCCCTGTCTGAACATATGTTTTTGTTATATAGGGGAAAAATACCATGTGTGCCTCTCCATCACTGAACTAAAAAATCTAAATGTTTCCTTACATCATTGTGTGTGAGTGTCTCCCTGTCTGTGTTTCTGAATGCATTGATAAAGGTTGCACGTATTTTGTTTCCCAACATTCTTTTCATTTCTTCATTGTCTTTCCATCCCATGATCCATGAAACTCCACTTATAATCTTATGCAAATCCTAAACCAACTCTGTCTCAGTTTCCTAAATTAGTCTCCTTACGTTCGTCATCACAGTTTCGACAGAGGTAGGTGTGTGTGTGTGGGGGGGGGGGGGGATGGAGAATGTGCAGGTATGGTAGCCATGGGCTGTATGACTCACTTCTCTTTTTCATGGCATCCCGTGATGATTACAACCAAAATGATTCACTTAGCAGCATCACTGTAATCACAACAACCTCTGTGTATGCTTTGTTTTAATCAATTTTGCCCTCTGATACTAAAACATCCCAACTTTTTTGGACACACTGAGGTTTATCTGCAGAGGTGCGTTAAGTAAGAACTCCTCTGAGCTCCAAAGCATGTCTAAGGTGGAAAAAGAGAGGGAAACATACGTATAGGACAAGTCCAGTCTGGTCCTGAGGTCTTTCCCTTCTGTGTACTCCCCCATTGGAGCTCAGCCCCACCCTACACCTCACATTCCTCTACAAAAACCCCATCTCATCACACAGTCTCTGCACAACACTGGTGTATCAGAAAAGTGCATCTTCAAAAAAACTCACAGGCAAAGAGAAAGAAGGAACCTCAAGAAACACCTAATTTTTCAATTTTCCCATCAAGTTCAGAGGGAGAAAAGGTAGGCATCTTTTTTATCCACTTTTTATTCAAATGGACTGAATGAGCCTTGAAGAGAGACATGATTCTGCAAAAGCTTTAAGTGACAGAGGATGAAAGGGCTGGTTTAGGATTGGTTGAATACCTTTTTATGCACACCAGCAAAAATCATGGAAAGTGCAAATCAACAGCCGTGGGAGAGGAATAGAGAAATAGAGAAATGACTCAGCAGCATGTTTGTGGGTTTTTAACAAAAAATGATTTTGTTTTCTGTGACCCATGCTTTGAGGGGAATTTGATAAAACTTCACGTGCATCACTTAATTAAAAAAAAAAGTGTAATAAAACTATCAGTAAGTATGAGAGGAAAATTATTTTCAGAAACAGGAAGACAACCATTTGATTTTAAATCCACTGACCCAAATTTGATTGGTTTCAGTGTTCAGTCTCCTCTGAAAGTTTGTGATCTGGGTCGGGTCACATATACTTAAAAGTAAAGATATTTTGGTCCTGCTCTAAATTCCTCTAAAAGTTACCCTGTTCAGCCCTGCCTGTGATACTCTGTTATTTCACAACACTTCTGGGGAAGGCTGTTTTTAATACAAAAAATGCAGTACAATATGCTCAACTGGGTGTTTTCAGACAACTGTTTGCGTGCATGGAGAACAAAGGGAGGGACTTTTTTTTGGCATGACAATTATACATAAATTCTATAAAAAATAATCATATATCTACAGAGAATATAAGCATGTTTCATTTTTCAGCTTTACTTCAGTTTTCGAAACCAAATTTATGTTAGATTTTCTTTAAAGTTTTAATTGTGTTACATTTGTTTTCATTATTCCATTATCAAAACACACCATTTATTAATGTAAAGTAATAGCAATTAAACTATTTAAATATTTTTTTCTAATATATATAAATAATTATAGATTCTCTGACTTGCGGTTGAAAGTACTTCCTTAACCTGCATCACTTTCAAGCAAAGAATCTGCATCTTTCCTCATCGTTCACCTGTCAGATGTGATTCATTTTCCTTCTGCCTCTTTTACGCAAACTTTAAATTTCACCTGTATCAAGTTGAATCATAGATGAAGTGATCCTAAAATAAATAAGTGAGGCAGATTTTCAGTGTAGGAAGATTTTGAGGGTGTGGTTCAGCCTGTCCTGGGTGGAGATGAAGGAAGCCAGGGCCTGTCGGGACATGAGTTTGTCTTAAAATGTAGCCCAGAGCTACATAATCCTGTGAAGGCCTGTCAGAGGGAACTGATGTTTGTCTGAGTGTGTGCTCAGCTATGTGATCACACAAAAGCCCCCGCAGATCAACAGTAACACCACAGTAACAGCAGATAAATAGCTCTTACATCTTGGATCAGTGCAGGAGATTCAGTGACTCCACCTCTATACACAAAGGAGGGAAATACAGAGAGTAAAAAAAACAACAACTAG